TAGCACAATCAAGTGTTCTGGGATTCCCATTCTTCTCAGAGTCAGCCACAGTTTGTTATGATCCACACAGTCAAACGCCTTTGCAAATCAATGAAGCACAGATAGACATTCTTCTGGTACTCCCTGCTTTCAGCCAAGATCCATCTAAATTAGCTACAATATCCCTAGTACCACGACCCCTTCTAAACCCAGCCTGGACTTCTGGTGGTTCTTTGCTTATGTGCTGTTCCAGATATTTCTAAATTGTTGTTTTTCGGTGCCATTGAGTCAGCTGTGACTCATGGCGATCCTGTGAGCCAGGCAGACCTGAACCTTGCCCTGCCTTCTGCCATCTTAATAATTTGTGCTATGCCTGAGCCCAGTGCTCCATCCACTGTGTCAGTCTATCGACCATGATGTCCCCTTCCAAGGACTGGCCTTTTCTAACCACGTGCCTAAAGTATGTGAGATAAAGTTTTATTAGCCTTATCCTCTAAGGAGTGCACTAGTCACACACTTTTGTTTGTTTGTGTTGCTCTTGTTGTTATGTGTCATCCAGTTGCTTGCGACTCATAGCGACCTTATGTACAAGAGACCTAACCCTGTTCTACCCTGTGCCAACCTCACTGTCTCCGACACTCCTACTCCCACTATCTCAATCACTGAATTGATCCATTTCCTCGAAGGTCTTCCTCTCCTGCGCTGTCCCTCTACCCTCCCAAACATGATGTCCTCTGAAGGACGGGTTCCTCCTTACAACATGCCCAAAGTATATCAGACAGAGCTTCAGAATCCTTGCCTCCAAGGAGCATTCTGGCTTCACCCTCTCCAGGACGAACCTGTTTGTTCTCCTAGCAGTCCACGGTATATTCAACACTCTTCTCCAGACCACAGCTCAAAGGCATCAATTCCCTTTCTATCATCCCAAGTCACTCTCTCTGATGCATAGCACGTTATTGTGACCGGAGACTGCCTGCTTCCCATCTGGCTTCCACAGCTCCCAGAGAAGGAACATGGGGCAGCTGCTGATTCTCACTCCCGATACTGCTCATGTCTCTTCTTTGTTGTTAGGTACCTTCACATCAACTACTATTCATAGCCTCCATATGAACAATACACCTAAACCTTGCTCTGTCCTTTGCCATCTTCATTATCTCTGATAGGCTTGAGCCCATAGTTACAGTCACTGTGTCAGCCCATCTTACTGGGATTCTTTCTCTGACCCTCCACCTTTCCCAGCATAATGACTCCTTCCACAGATTGGCTTCTCCTGACAACATGCCCAATGTATGTGAGCTGAAGCCTCTAAGTAGTACTCTGGTTATACTTCCTCAAAGAGAGTTGCTCTGGCAGGCTGTAGGATATTCAGTATTGTTCACAATTCAAAGGCATCAATTCTTCTTCATCAATCTTATTCAATGTCCAAATTTCAGATGCATAGAAAGCAATTGAGAATACCATGGCTTGGAGGGGATGGAGAAGAAATGGGGAAGCGGTTAATAATGAACACTGAGTTACAGATGAAGGGAATAACTGTGTGGAACGAATATATATATGTATAAGAACAGTTTGGAACAAAGAGGGTATTGTGGGAGAGTAGGGGAGGGGAAAGAAGAGAAAAATGTACAATAATGAATAAATGTAAAAATTTTTTTAAAAACATGGCTTGGATTAGATTCACCTTAGTCTTCAAACTGACATCCTTGCTCTTTAACACTTTACAGAATGCTTCTCACTCTAGCCCGTTGTCACTGAGTCTGAATAGAATCATAGCTGATCCTCTAGTGGGTCTTCAGAGGGTCTAAATTACATAGGGAAAGATAGCCTATCTTTTTCCCACAGAGCAGCTAATGGATCCGAACTGTCTCCTGTTGGCTGGCAGCATAATTCCTTACCCACTAGGCCACCAGAGTGCTTAACAAGCCTTTAAGTCTATGTTTTTAGCAAGGTCCTCAGGACGTCATAATTTACCTGGGATTACCTTGGACCAGGAGGTAGTTGTCAGAACAGAGCAAGAAAACACTGCACGGTTCAAAATTTGAAAGGCTGTGCATCAAGGACGTGTCCTATCTCCATATCTTTTTAATCTATATGTGGAACAGATTATTCGGAAGACTGGGTTCTATGAAGAGAAGTGTGGCATTAGAATTGGAGGTAGACTCATCAACAGTCTGTGTTATGCAGATGACACACCCTGCTTGCTGAAACAGAGGAGGACCTGAAGTGCTTGCTACAGAAGGTCAGGGACCACAGCCTTCAATATGGATTGAAGCACAACATCAGGAAAACAAAGATTCTCACCACTAGGCTGATTGGCAGCATCATGATAGATGATGAAGAGATGAGATTGTTGACAGCTTCAGTTTGCTTGGCTCTACCATCAGCACTCTTGGTATCAGCTGCCAGGAAATGAAAAGATGAATTGAATTGGGAAAGTCGGCTATCAGAGACCTCTCCAAAGTACTGACGAGCAATGATGTCAGTCTGGAGACTAGGGTATACCTGATACAGGCCACAGTTTTTGCAGTTGCTTGCTATGCAACAGAGACCTGGACAATGACTAGGGATGACAGAAGGAGAGTTGATGCCTTTCTTTGAGCTGTGACTCTGGAGAAGAATATTGAATATACCATGGACTGCTAGGAGGACAAACAGGTTCATCCTGGAGAGAGTGAATCCTGGTCCTTGGAAGCAAGGATTCTGAAACTTCGTCTGACATACTTTGGACATGTTGCAAGGTGGGATGAGTCCTTGGAGAAGGATGTCATGCTTGGGAGGATGGAGGAACAGTGCAGGAGAGGAAGACCCTTAATGGGATGGATTGATTCAGTCACTGCAATAATGGGGTTAGGTGTGTTGGAGATAATAAGATTGGCATAGGGTAGAGCAGGGTTTAGGGCTTTTGTTGCTGTGAGTCACAGGCGACTTGACAGCACAACAACATATTAAAAAGTGGATTCTGATTTTTTTTTTTAATCTGGAATGGAAAAACACATTCTCAGGAGGAGTTGAAGCAGAATGAACTGGTTTTAAGCCTTGCTGCTAAGACATCACAACAGTTCTCAGGCCCCTTCCTCTCACTAGATGCCTTTTTCCCGCTGTCCACTGTCTGGAGAAAGGTTCACCTTGGGAGGTTTAGAGGAAAGAGAAGTAGATGTGAATTGGGAGCCTGCCCTTCTCCTTCTAGCGAGGCTATTCAGAGAACCCACGAGGGAGACACCATGTGATCCCTCCAGATGTCTGATTCTTCATCTGTACCGTTGGGACTGAACTGGACCTTTTCCAGCTGCTTCCTGCACATTCTGCTTTCTCATATTCATCAGTAATAACCTCTAGAAGCCCCTGAAAAGCTTTTCCTTAGCCTCAGGTGTGAGACTGTGGTCCCTGCCCCAGTTGTTGTTGGGTGCCATCAGGTCACCTGTCACTCATAGCAACCTTATGAACAACAGATCTGAACCTTGCCCTATCCAGAGCCATCCTCAGCATCCCTGATATGCCCAAGCCCACTGGTACAGTCACTGTGCCAGTCTGTCCTGCTGGGAGTCTTCATCTCTTTCTCTTACCCTCCCCTATACCCAGCATGATGTCGCCTTCTGAGAACTGACCTCTCCTGACAGCACTCCTAAAATATGTGAGATGAAGTTTCAACATGCTTGCCTATAAAAAGCAACCAGAGTACACTTCCTCTAAGTTAGACTTGATTGTTCTTTTCACAGTCCATGGAATGCTTCATACTCTTCTTCCTCATCACAACTCAAAGGCATTGATTCTTCTCCTGTCCTCCGTATTCATTATCCAAATTTTAGATGCATAGAAAGTAACTGAAATGACCATGGTTTGGGTTAGGTGCACCTTAGTCTTTAAACTGACATCCATACCCTTTAAAACTTTGAAAAGGTCTTTGACAACAGATTTTCCCAGTGCAATGTGTCTTTTCCTAAATTGCTGTTACTCTAGGTATTGATTGTAGATCCAAGTATAAGGAAATTGTTGAACATCAATCTTTTTCCATATATCACAATGTTGCCTACGGGGCCAGTGATGAAGATTCCCCCCACCCCCTTACTGTTGAGATATATAGGTGATGCCATGTACAGATCTTGTTTTCTGAATTTCAGGATATTGCCTTGCTCTGTATTGACACGAAGGTTTTCTGTAATTTCATGGGTGTGCCTGACAGTTTGTTAAATGTTTCATGTGCTCATCATCTCCTGTAGCACTTACCTGTCCCAGGCTGGTGTTGGGCCCTGGGTGTAGAATGAGGGGGCTGAGGAGGCACAACCTTGCCATTCAGGAGTATGGTTACAAGTACATCCCTGACAGGATAGTTCTTTATAAACTTTCTTTCCTTGTAACTAGAAAGCCCTATGTATAAGAGCCGGAGGCCTCAGTTAGTTATATGAACTTGTATTACTCAAGTCAATTCTTTAAGCCTCCGTTCACTCACCTGGTAAGTAGAGGCAGCACTCTCTCATACTCTTGGTGCCTACCCTGCCCATCTCACAGATCTGTGGCCCACAGATGGGAAAATGGAACGTAGTGTCTTATAAATGTGCGTTAACACTGTTGTTAGGAGTTGTGGGTGGTGCAGATAGTATGCTAGGCTGCTGAGTAAAAGGTGAAAGGATTGAGTGCAGTTTTGGAAGAAAGACTTAGTAATCTACTTCAAACAAACAAAACCAGCCATTGAAAACCCTAAGGAATATAATTCTGTTCTGACACACAGAGATTGCCGGGAGTGACAGCTCAGTGGCAACAGGTTAGTGGTTTTGTTAATCACTCATCATGTATATACAGAAATGCTTTCAAAGATGGAGGACTTAAGCACAAGGAGAATTGTCCTTGCCTTGTGTGGATCTTCCTTATATGAGGACACAGAGTTATGCACGGGAAGAATAAAGACATGGAGCTGGCCCAGAGATGGCGTGTGGGGCTGCATCTGTGTAATGTTATCTACTGTGCCATCAGGCAGCTGGACCTGCTCCTTGGATTAGGACTGATTGTGCCCATTGTCCTTCCAGTACACCAGGTGGCAGAGCGGGTGGAGGCCCTGGGGCAGTTTGTCATGAAGACCAGAAGGACCCTCAAAGGCCATGGGAACAAAGTCCTGTGCATGGACTGGTGCAAAGATAAGCGGAGGATTGTGAGCTCATCCCAGGTATGTCAATGTGCTGGGAAACGGGCAAGCAGATTTCTGACACTGTTGCCAACGGGCTCAAGGTCCTTTTCCAAAGTCCACTTCTGGTCTTTATGACTAGTTATTCTCCAAAGGGCATGATTTAGTTAAAGAATTCCCTTTGTTCTTTATATTACAGAAATTCACTGATTTGGAATTGCTAATGATTGAATCATGACATACCATGTATGATTTCTCTTTTTAGAATGAGCATTCAGATTCATCTCTCCCTAAGCATGTATGAGTAAAGCCATTTGAAAAATATTAGAGCTATGTTTCATTTTGGGTTTTGCTCATGAATTAAGGACATAAATGAATGAGATCCCATCGGTGGCCTTTAATTTAAGAGTTTAACAATTCAGGTGACCCGGGAGGACATGGCAGAGGCCCACTGTCTGACCTTACCTTTGAGGTAACGTTCCATTACGTCTGCAGTATCCTGCTGGTCACATGGATGACTCAGTTAGAATGAGGGAGGACACTGCTCAAGAGTATCTATCAGAAGATGGGATCACCGGGCGCTCTCATGGAGGCCAGCTTAGGCCTATTAAAGCTCAGACCTTTTTGTGGTTTATTTCTAAAGTGTTGAACATAAAACTGTAAACTAAGACCACATGAAATATTCTGTAATTCCTTTTTTCACAGTTTCCATTTTCTCCACTCCAGCCTTCACCCCAGCTTTTTAAAAGGAGGAATTTTTATAAAGAGTCTATAATTTTTTTTTAAAGTTTATAGAGTAGCATCCTCTTCTGAAATGACTTGCCTCCAAAACTCTATGAACAGTGCTCAGGTCTTTCGTTCATAGCATCACTATGAGTCGTCTGTGACTCAACGGCACCTAATAACAACAACAACAGCAACAACATAACATAACATAATATTGTGTAATTTTTTATTTATGTAAATATAAATTTGAGATCACGCACAAAAGTGAACATCAGTTAATCATTGCTTGTTGTTGCTGTTGCGTCCCATCTGTCAGTCCCAGCACATAACCGAAACACTGCCTGCTCCTGCATCACCTTCACAGCCATTGCTGCGTGTGAGCCCAGTGCTGCTTCGGTCGTGTCATTCCATCTCATTGAGGAGCTTCCTCTTATTCTCTGACCCTCTCCATGGCCCAGCATGATACCTTTCTCCAGGGACTGATCCCTCCCACTGCTGTCAAGCTGATTACCACTCAGTGACCTTACAGAGTTTCTTGGACTGTGAATTTTTACGGAAGCACACTGCCATATCTTTCTCCCTCAGAGCAGCTGGTGCATTCAAAATGCCCAGTTTCTTATTTGCAGCCAAATATTTTAATCACTGTGTCACCAGCTCCTTCCTCTTGATAACATGCCAAAGTATCTGAGCCCAAATTTTCACCATCCTACTGCTAAGGAATAGTTTGGCTGTACTTCTAAGACAGATTTGTTCATTCTTCTGGCAGTTAATGGTATATTCCATATTATTCACCAACCCTGGAATGCCAATGCATCAGTTTTTCAGTCTTCCTTATCTGTTGTCCAGTTTTGACAAGCAGATGAGACAGTTGAAAATATCAGGCCTTGAGACAGGTGCACCTTACTCCTCAAAATGACAGCTTTGCTTTTTAACACTTTTCTGAGTTCATGTTCAGCAAATATTCCCAATGCCATTTGTCATCTGGTTTCCTGGCTGCTGTTTTCATAAGTGTTCTTTATGCTTCCAAGTAAAATGGAAAATATTTGACAACTTCAGTCTTTCTGTATTTGTGATAGTGTACTTACTGGTCCATTTGTGAGGAAGGCTGTAGTTTGAACTTCTTCACCAAGTACTTAAAATCTTTTTCACTTTAAGCAAGTAAGAGTATATCTTAAAAATTACATATAGATGACGCAACATTGTATTAATCTCCTGTGCTACCTACAAATCTAGTTTGTCACTGTATCTTTGCTTTTTATTTTATGTTCATGATAAATTGATTATTTGTTTTTATCATATTCACGAAGCTCTGAAAAAAGAATAAAGAAAAAAGTTTTGCTCTCACAACTCTGTCATGACCATTATTATTATTTTAAACCATTTATTTCTTGTCTTCTTTATCCAATGTTTCAAATACGCGTTTTAACAAAGTAGTTATTAGAGTGTACCTATTGTTACCTAGTCCTTTTGACCTTTATAATGTTTACAGTGTAATAGATGGTGGATTTCTATCTCCTGAGTTTTCATTAACAAGGGGAGGGAGGAGAGCTTCAGTACTCTTAGACCCTCTGCATCCCACCAGCTACATTTCCCTCCTACAGGATGCCATAGACAGTAGGAAGAAGTGGGTGTGGGGGTGAGGAGGTTGGAGAACAGCAGGAAGGGGCTGGAACAGACTTTGGGTGACTCATCAGCATATTTCTCTCTTAAAAAGCAGGAGATTTATCTTGAGTAAGGGTTTAGGATAGAGGTGCATTCCCTGTAGATACATATCTGTTATAGTCCATCTGTGCTCTTGAAGGAGCCATGTGTGGTTTTATCATCTGTACTTGATGGAGCCACATTTGATTTTATGAGACTGATTTTAGCCTCCTGATTTCCTTTGTCAGGTGGGAAGTGGGGATAGACAGACAGATGGTGGTGAGGAGGAAGCCACTTTAAGTGAGCACTGAGTTGCTGAATTGGGTGATGCACAACATTGGATAATGCACTATCACTCTCCTACCCTGAGCAAAGGGAGGGCCTAGGCATGGAGGATCCTAATGCAGAGGCATCAAGCCCCTGATCTGTTCTCTGAACCTAAGGCTTATCGGACCTCCCACTTAGAGAAATCAGACCATTGTCCTTAGGAACCAGTGCACTTAGGAGCCTTGAGCTTAGTTTGAGGTTCACAGGACACTAATGTTAATACAGAACTCTTCTGTCAGATGGAGGCCTTTAGAGTCAGACTTCAATCATATCCCATTTCCAGACTAAGCCCCCTAACCTCATTTGCCAGAGTTGCTCCAGATGTCTTGGGTGATTCACAGTATCAAGCCCACTTAAGAGGCTGCAGCTTTGTCCTCCATAAGCACACACAAGCCAGTGCATGCGTGTGTGCCTCATCCAGGGATACTTCCTGAGAGCCACTGTCAGCCAGAACCCAGGTGCTCTGAGAGCTCCCACACATTGAGCAGGTGGCAGTCTTGTAGAGATCAGGGTTCCTGTGGAATTATCTGTAGTCTGTTTGTATTACATATAGGTGGCATTATGGTTACTCCCTGCACATCTCCAGATGGTTACAGTAGATGACAGGTTGCCTTGTGTGTTGTTTGTTTGCTGATGGACTTACCCCAAAGGGATCTGCACAGTATCTAGATACTTACTCTGGCTGTCCACCTCATGCAGTCTAGCTAAGTGCACAGTGTTTATGAGTAATTCCTACCAATTATCTGTTTTAAATCGTGGGCAGTGCCTAAACTTGTTGCTTTTCTCCATCCAGGATGGGAAGGTGATCGTGTGGGATTCCTTTACTACTAACAAGGTGAGGCCTTTTTATTGATCATATCACACAGCATCTCAAGATCTTATCGTAGTTTAACGAAGCTTGAGTGGCATGAGCAATTTGTGATTGGCTGCTGAGCTAACATGTGATAATTCAAACCCACCCAGCAACTCCATGGAAGTAAGGCCTGACAGACTGCTTCCATTAAGATTACAGCCCGTGGGACATGGGAAAGTCCTTCTGTGTAACACAGGTGGTCATTTTGAGCTGGAGACCAACCTGACAGTAACTTGAAACAGCATTAGCTACCCAACCTCCTTGTGATTCTCCACTGAGCACCCTGCCTGTAGTCACCTGCCTCTAAGAGGGGCTGTCTAGTGACGGCAAGGCCATCTGTGTTTGGACGAATCAGCCAGCCCATTCATCGTAACATTTGTTCTTTCTTTTTTGTGCCCAAGAAGAACATGCAGGACCACAATCCCATTGCTTTTTAGTTAAGTCTGACTCATAGCAATCCACTGGCCTTACTTGATGGAGTAGAACTGTCCCATGGAGTTTCTAAGGCTATAATCTTTGCAAAAGCAGGCTGCCACAACTTTCTTCCACAGAGAATCACCATAAATAAGGGAAATGAGCAGAGCCTGGAAAGGATACTATATTCACATGTCTAACTGGATTTATTGTTTTTCTTCTTAGTGATGAGAAAGAGGTATCAAAATTCCCATTTTTTTTCTTCCTTTCTCTTGAACAGACTTCATAGCAATATGGAGATTTTCAAGTGGTGGGTGGAGAAGACGAGGGTACACAGAGAATGAAGTGACCAGTCCTATGCAAGGAGACATCTGAGCCCCTTGCACATCAGGCCAGGGAACACATGCCTGCAAATTAGGTCTAAGTCTAGACCTTGACTAATGAGGAAAGCCACAAACCATGCATAAGGCTTTGCCTGCATCATATTGGCATTTGCTGTAAAGAACATTGTGTTGAATATTTATTTTGAAAGGAAGTATTCCTTTCTATATATGGAAAAAAAGAAAGATATTTATCTGTCCCAAATGAGACAGTCTCCTGATAATGCATTGCTGAATGGATTTTTTGGATGTTGTGGTAGGTAGCTGTTATATCACATGTGTACAAAGAATGTAGGCAATATGAGAAAGGCCAAGCCTGACCACTGTTAGCTTTACAAAAAGGATCTGTCCCCATCAAGAACACCCACAAAATTCATTCCAGTGAGGTCAGACATGTCCCCCATGCTCCCCTCCTTATGTCTACCAATTCTAGTACCAGTCCTAATGTTCTCTGGGTCAGAAACCTGTTGCAATGATAGCTACACATGTCTGATGGAACCATACTCCTAGTTAGTTATGAGATTTATTAGGGAAGTTAACAGGTTACAATTCTCGTTGGCAACAATATACCAATACACAGTTCCTCAGTTTGGACGGCTTCTCATGCTTGGTCACAAGCCCTTTGACCTTCAGCCTCACATGCTTACTTAGGTCACTGTTCCCAAGTTCCCTTAGTTCCACCAGTCATGGTGTCTTCCCTCAGCAAGCCTGGGTGAAGGTCCCTGGCACTGGCTCCATGGATCCACAGTCCCAAGTCACCTGTCTAATGTCCGTCTCTGGTTCTCCACGAGGCTGCTGCTGTCATGTAGATCCAGTCTGACTGGCACAGGAATGCCTGGTCCTTGAAAGATGCAGATTGCACTCTTCACCATACATCCTCTCCCTTGCTGAGAGTGAGATTCCCACCTTTGCTGCTGAACCTGTTTAGTTGAAACTTGGTGGGATGGGGGGAAAAACACTGACCAATCCCAAAATGGTGTGTTTATACACATCGTATTTCAGGGTCATGCCCTAATCATGTAGTGAAATCAAAGCTGATGGATACCACAATGTATGTTAGATGATCAACATAGAGCTAGAGCCGTTTTGTGGAATTGAATACTTGTAGCTCTGAGCAATAGTGAAAATAACAACAGTGTGCAAAGGGCTTTCATCTAAGTCATCTCCTTGGAAGCCTCCTCCTTTCCTAGCATCTCTGGACATTTTCTGGACTCCATGGAGTTCTGCTGCTTCCATTTATGACGTAGAGCGTGGACGGTCTGACTCTGGAGAGCCAGGTGGTCACCACAGGGCCCCAAGCAGGCAATGTAGCCTCTACTTGTAAGGAATGACATTTGGGATGCCCTTTGTTGTAAGAGACCTCCTTGAACTCATTTCCCAAAGCAAAGACATAATATTTTGGCATCTAAGAGGCCATGAGACTGTGAATGAAAACACAATTTTGGTAGAGAGCACTGGGGCCATTACTTCTTCATTCATAACAGGTAAGAAGATTAGCGTGTGAATAGACTTGTAGGCTAATTTTCTCACAGAAAGCGGAGAACTGAGAAGAAATAGTTGGCTTAGGGGAGATGACACATCTTGTTTATATCAGAATTGAGGTCATGACCCAAGTCTCTCAATAAATTAAGACCACAGGCTTAAGTGTTATGAAATATGACTTTTGTTGTTTTTTATCTTCATGCAGGAGGATTTGGGTCCTGATTACTAGCCAAAGGCCCAGGACTATTATTATCTCAGTTCTTATACTTCCATTTTATGGTTTCTCTCTTAACCAAGAGCGGGACTCAAGACATCCTCCGCAGCCCTTCCCACATCTTCCCAGGAATTGATTTGGGATCCACAGTTAAGGAAGGCTCTTACAGTTAAACAGATTTGTCATGTGTATGTAAAAAGCCATTCAAGAATGCATTATGAAAACAGGGGAAACTTTCTCTCATGGAGCAGCTAGTGGTAAAATCTGTATCTGAAAGGAGATTCAGACATCTCTCTTAAAAGGAGGAACTCTGCTCACTGCCGTTGAGTTGGAAGTGAATCATGGCTGACCTTCCAGTGGCAGTAGGTTGCATGGAAGCAGATTGTCCAGCTTTGTCCCAGGAGACAGCAACTACTTAGCCACCGCGCCACCCGCGCTTCCTCAGGAGCCTCGTGTTCATCTCTAATATTAAAGAGGAGGTATACACTAAGATAGGGTCATGCTTTTCTTGGTTTGGAAGACTTTTTTTCTTTTTCTTTTGTTTTTTGTTTGATTTTTATGATTGTTGGGTTTTGGTGATTTATTTTTGCCAGCAGTTGTTTTTAACTTTCAGAATACATAACATGCAGTGTGATTGACGCAAGGCAGGCTGAAACCCTTCCAGAGGAACACTGGTGATTCAGTGGGTTAAACATTGGACTACCTGTGAACTACTCGGTCAGCAGTTTGAAGCCACTGTTGTAGTTGTTAGGTGCCTTCGAGGCACGTTTGACCTATAGCAACTCTTTATGTCATAGATCTGAGCCCTGTCCTGTTATGTGCTATTCTCATCACCTGTAATACACATGAAGCCGTTTCCCCAGTCCCTGGGTCCGTCCATCTCATTGAGGGTCTTCCTCTCTTTCACTAATCCTCCACCTTTCCAAACATGATGCTCCTCTTCAAGGAAGAGACTCTCCTTGCAACATGCCCAAAGTATATGAGATTAACCCCCTAGTCATTCCATCAAAGGAAAGTGAGGGTGTCTGCTTCCATCAGGATTTACAGCCGCAGCAGTTGTACAACGCCCTTCTGCTCTGTCCTTTGTGGTTGCTGTGAGTCAGGAACCAACGTGCAGCGGTGGGGAGGGCTTGCACCCCCTCCTCAGCCTCAAGCAGGAGTTTCTCTACCACATGCCACTTTCCTTTGAGCTAATAATGAAAACCACTTTGGAGATATTATTTTGAAAAGGGGTAATGTTGACTCTTGTGCAGCTGCACCTCTCATTCACTGTGTGAACAGTGTGTGTTGTGTTTCAGGAGCACGCAGTCACCATGCCCTGCACGTGGGTGATGGCGTGCGCTTACGCCCCGTCAGGATGCGCCATTGCCTGTGGGTGAGTAAGGGCTGCTGCGGCCGTTCTGATCCACGATTAACTGGAAAGTGTTTCTCTACTGCCAAAGACAAGCAAACACGAATTTGTCATGACTTGTGTTTACTTTTCAAGTAACATGTTAAACTCCTGTCTAAACTTTACCAAAGAAGAATAAGCATCAAAGATCTAGAACAACAATAGTGTTAAGTTTCATCTCTGCCCCCTGTACTTTGAAAAGCTATTGTCGCTATGTATTCTCAAATCGGAAGTGACTTATAACTGACCCTCCAGTGTATTTTCAGAGACTATAAATCCAGGGGAGTAGACTGCCCACCTTTCTCCTGTAGACCTGCTGATAGATTTGAACCACCTGTCTTTGGGTTGGCAGTGAAGCTCCTTACCCATTAGGCTTCTAGTGTATTTCTCTCTCTGTGTGTGACACTTTACATTTCTAAAAACCAGCAAACTCTGTGTTTCCAAATGGGTGTGATTTTGGCAAATGCAAAGAGTTTGATGGGTTACATATCTTTTTCTCAGTATCCAGTGAAGAAGACTTGAAACACTTGCTTCAAAAGGTCGAAGCCTTCAATATGGATTACACTTCAACTTCAAGCAAACAAAAGTCCTCACTACTGAGCCAATAGGCCCATCATGGTAGATGGAGAAAAGATTTAAATTGTCACCAATTTCATTTTACTTGGATCCACAATCAACACCCTTGGTCCTCACAGTCAAGAAATCAAAAGACATATCACATTATGAAAATATGCTGTCTAGGACCTCTCCAAAGTTCTAAAGATCAAGGATGTAAGTTTAAAAACTAATGTGTGCCTGGTCCAAATCATGATGTTTTCAGTTACTTCCTATGCATCTGAAAGTTAGGCAATGAACAACAATGATAGAAGAATTGACACCTTTGAGCTCTGGTGTTGGAGAAGAGCACTGAATATCCCATAGACGGCCAAAAGAACAGACAAGTCCGTCATGGACAAAGTGCAGCCAGGGTGCTCCTGAGAGAAAAGCATGGTGAAACTTTGTCTCATATACATTGGGTACATTGTTAGGAGGATCCAGACCTTGGAAAAGGACATCAAAAGGTCAGAAAAAAAGAGGAAGATGCCCCTACTAGGTGAATTGACACAGTGGCTTTAAGAATAGACTTGAACACATCAGAGATGTGTTGCCAGCATAGGGCAAGATCTGTGGTTGACAGGGTTGCTATGAGTCATAGGAAACTCAATGGCACCCAACATCAACAATAATATCCAATATGGAGATGTTGTTGTTGTTGTTGTTATGTGCCGTCGAGTCGTTTACGACTCATAGCAACCCTAGGTACAACAGCCCTAAACCCTGCTCTATCCTGTGCCAATCTCATTGCCTCTGACACACCCATCCCGATTACTCCAGTCACTGAATCAATCCACCTCATAGAGGGTCTTCCCCTCCTGCGCTGTCCCTCTACTCTACCCAGCATGATGTCCCTCTCTAAAGACCTGTCTCTCCTTACCATGTCCAAAGTATGTTAGACAAAGCCCCAGAATCCTTGCCTCCATAGCTAGTTCTAAATTACAGTGTCTTAATAGTAGTTAGGAAATGATGCTATAGGCTCTTTCTTATTTTAACCCTTATTACGTGGAACCCAGAGGAGCCGTGGTGCTGAGTGGTGCATGATATGTTGGGTTGCTAACTGAAGGGTCAGCAGTTCAGCTGCTCTGTGGGAGGAAAGCTGAAGCAGTGTGCTCCTGCAGGAACATACAGCCTCACAGTCCCAGTGGAGGCTCCTCAGGAGCCGTAATGGACCCCATAGAGGGGAGTTTGGTTTCCAGTCTGCTTAACTGGAACACGGTGGAAGGAAGAGACACTTTCCCACAGACTGAGCTTACAGCTTTCCAATGAGATGTCCCAGTGCAGACAGGGTTCAGAGAGGAGGGATGGCTGGTGTCTTATTCATCCAGTCCCCTGGGTCCTGACACATGGTGGGAGGTCATTACCTGTACTGGCTGCCCCTCTGATTGAGAACCACAGTAATTGAAGTTTAAGTTGTGAATATTTGTGAAAGCATGTTTTTAAAACATTCAAGGGATGATCATCAAAACGAAACTTTGGAATACTACATTCTCAAACAATAGCACCGTTTCTCCAGCTCTGAAGAGGAGGCCTTGGGTAGCACAGTCATTCAACTACTCTTAGCAGTTCAAACCCAACTGGAGTCTTCTTGGAAATCAGACCAGGAGGTCTGCTTCTGAAGGGTCACAGCCTTGAAAACTGTATGGAATACAGATCTACTTGGGCACACACAGGGTTGCTATGAGCTGGAATCAACCCAAGGCAGATAACATAAATATACTCATACCTTCATAGAACTTTTGAGAACAGCTGTGGTTAATTTGAAACTTTTGTGGTAATTTTAAAATAATGCTTCCCAGCTCTGACTTTGTGACTTTACATTGTAAACATCCAGCAGAGATACAGGCAAGTTCCTTGGAACCTTCAGAGTGGGAAGGACACAGCTCAAGTTAAACATTCAAGGAAGACCAACTCCCACTCTGGTCCCACCACTTGCTTGTTCATTGTCCAAGTAATTTTCAGTCACATGAGCTGTACCCAAATTTGCCAACACTAATTAACAGAAAATAAAACCCAAGGACAAACCTGCACCCCCAAGTAGGTGAGAATGCAAAAAGATTCTCTAGGTTCCCTGGGACTGCAAAACAGAGGAGCTCTGGTGGCTTAGTGGTAAGGAGTTACATTGCCAGTCCTAAATTACACAGTTCGAATCTGCCAGCTCCACCATGGAGAATGATAGGTAATCTCCTGTGAGATTTACTGTCTCTGAAAGCCCACTAGATGGCCACCTATAAGTCACCTTTCCAGTGGGCAGATTCAAACCACATCTTTTGAGTTGGCAGCATAATTCCTTACCACTAAGCCACAGCAACAATAACTATCATTCTGTATCTTATTTCTCACTAACAGGAAACTGGGATCCTTGGAGTAAGAAAGAGAATGAAGTGAATTTTTGGTTATTATTCCAGAAAGCAAGGAAATGCTCAAGGACCAGTGGGGTCATATCAAGAGGAAACAGGAGCTAGCTTAGAAAGGCTTCTGCTGCTGACAATTGGGACAATATGAACCTCCAATTTTAGCAATGAGTGATAAGACAATTGAAGAAGGAAAGAAAAGGCCCCAGTGCTGTGGTACTGGGAGAAAGGAAGAAGGGTTTTTATGCAGAAATACCAGATGACAAATGCAGGAGGAATTCTCACACTGGAAAAATCACCATTTTCACCCCTGAAATGATTTTTAAGGAGTCCTGGTGGTGAAGTGACATAGTTTGTGTCAAGTTGCACTGCTAACTCAAAAGTCACACCTCTCTGGTGGTTCAAATCCACCAGCAGCTCCTCGGCAGAAAGATGGTCCATATCCTCCCCTACAGTTTACAACCTCAGAAAACACTGGAGAGTCACCTATAAGTCCGTTCCAACCCAGTGGTGTTAATTTGAGTTGGTGGAATCATGCTTAAGCACTTGCTACTAGCTTAAAAGGCTGACAGTTCTATGAGAGAACCAGCAGTTTCATGAGAGAAAGATGTGGTGGTCGGCTTTTGTAAAGATTTACAGCCTTGGAAAGCCAATAGGGCAGTTCTACTCTGTCCTATCATGAAATTCTTCTGTGTCAGCCAGTTCATTTTGGTAATGGTGACGAAGGAGGAAGTTCAAGCTTCTCTGAAAGTATGGGCAAAAAATAAGGCCTCAGGAATTGTTGGAATACCAATTGACATATTTCAACAAATAGATGCTGCCCTGGATGTGCTAACCAAGTCGTACCAAGAAATCTGGAGGACAACCACCTGGTCAACTGAATGGAAGAGGTCTATACTTACTCCTATAAAAAAAAAAGGTGATCTGACAGAGTGTAGAAATTATCAAACAGTATGACAAATATCACGTACAAGCAAATTCTTGCTGGAGATTATCCAAAACCTACTGGAAACATTGACAGAGAACTACCAGAAAGCTGGGTTTTGAAGAGGTTGCGGCAGATGAATCTTGGATGAAAGCAGAGAGTACCAGAGGAATCTCTATCTATGTTTCATTGATTATGCAAAGGTATTTAACTGTGTGGGTCACAATAAATTGTGTTTAACCTTGAGAAGAATGGGAATCCCAGAGCTCATGTGTTCATGTGAAACCTTTAGTTGCACCAGCAAGCAGTCGACAGAACAGAGCAAGGAAATACTTCATGGTTCAAAACCAAGAAAGCAGTGCATCTTGTCACCATATACTTTTTCAACTATATGCAGAACAGATCATTTGGGAGGCCGGACTTAATGAGGAGGTGTGTGGCATCAGGATTGGAGGAAGACTCATCAACAATCTGTGTTATGCAGATGATACAACCTTGCTTGCTGAAACTGAGGAGGACCTGAAGTGTTTTCTTCAGAAGGTAAAGGACTGTAGTCTTCAATATGGATTGAAGCTTAACATCAAGAAAACAAAAATTCTCATTTACTCAGCTCCACAATCAACACTCTTGCTATAAGCAGTCAGAAAATCAAAAGATTAATTGCATTGGAGAAGTCCACTGTCAGGGACCTCTCCAAAGTACTAAAGAACAATGATGTTAGTCTGGAGACTAAGGTGTGCCTGATCCAGGCCATGGTCTTCACAATTACTTGCTATGCATCAGAGAGCTGAACAATGACTAGGGATGACCAAAAAATTCATGCCTTTTTAAGTTACGATACTGGAGAAGAGTATTGAACATATCATAGACTGCCAGGAAGACAAGTAGAGCTGTCTTGGAGAGGGTGAAACTAAGTTTCTCCTTAGAGGCAAGGATTTTGAAGCTCCATCTCACATACTTTGGCTAAGTGGCCAAGAGGGACCAGTCCTTAGAGAAAGATACCATGCTTGGAAGGTTGGAGGGACAGCGCAGGAGAGAAAGATCCTGAATGAGGTGGTTCGAAATTGTAATTGGGGCAAGGGGCATTGATGTGTTGGAGTCAATGAGACTGGCTCAGTATAGGGCAGAGTTCAAAGTTATTTGTACTTAGGGTCACTATGAGTCATGGGCGACTCGATGGCACATAACAAGTCTGCCCTATAGCATCACGATGAGTCAGAATTGACTTGACAGCAGTAGATTTGGTTTTGGGAAAGTGATACTTGATTCAAGCAACAGTAATCCTACAAAAACCATTGTACAAAAAGTTCTTGGAGACCAGGTTAGCCTAATGATCTGAAAGCATCAGACCACAGGTAACTACTGATTATGAAGGGAGATAGGCACTTTCACAATGGAGAAAGCCGGCAGTCATCACCTTCTTCAGATAATCACCATCAGTACAGGAATAGTGGCCCCACAGCTGTCATAAGCCATGTGAAGTGAAGCAAGAAAAAATCAAAGATCAGACTCACTGCTCTCAAGTCAGTGCTGAGTCCCAGTGATTCTCTTTCAGGTTTCTGACCGAGGCTGTAAATCTTTACAAGAGGAGACTGCCCATCTTTCTCCCACAGAGGAGCTGTTGAATTTGAACCACTGATATTTTGGTTTGCAGTGCAATATGCAATACACTGCACCACCAGAGTGCCTCAAAACTCAACCCCCTGTCCTCATGTTGTATACTTCCAACTTAGGGAGTCTTCCGTCCAATTTCTGAGGCTTAAAAGTGTAAAAGGAGGAGACTGTTTATTCCTTTTTCCTCAGAGCTGCTGGTGGATTTGAACTGCTGGAGATTCGCAGCCTTTTGGTGAGCAGCCCAGTACACTATCGACTGCACCACCAGAGCTCCTTACAACTGAGACATACAAAGATGCTAGATTTTAGCCTTTCATACCACAGGAAACATGATTTAGTGGTAAGGAGTTGCACTGACAACCACAGTGTATACAGTTCAAGTCCACTAGCTACTTCGTGGGAGAAAAATGAGCACTCTCCTCTCATGTAATTAACTGTCTTCAAAAACCCACTGGAGAGTCAGCTATGGGTCAGTTCCAGCTTGATGGCACACAGCAACAACTAACTGTACATATGAAGATTGTTGAAATGGCAGATGTTTTGCTACTTATATACATGCCACAATGAAAAGAGAACTTAAAACCTTTGATCTCTCCAGCAACACTAGTGACGTTCAACAGGCCAACAAACAACAAATGCTGGCAAGGATGTGGAGAGATTAGAACTCTCATTCACTGCTGGTTGAAATGTAAAATGGTACAACCACCAGGGAAGGCAGTCTGGTTTTCTCAAACTGTTGGAAAGAGAAGTACCATTTGACCCAACTATTCCATTACTCGGACTATACACTAAAGAAGCAGGAGCCATAATGCAAGCAGTTGTATGCACACTCAAGTTTATTGCTGTGTTAGTCACAATCATGAAAAAATGGAAGCATCTCAAGGTCCCATCAATAAGCAAATGGATAGAAATGGTACATCCACACAGCGGAATATTACGCAGCACTAAAAACAATGAATTTGTAAAACACTACACAACATGGGTAAGTCTGGAAGGCATTATGCTGTGTGAAACATGTGAAACATCTCAGTCACAAAAGGATAAGCACAGCATAGCATTGCTGTTATAAAATAGGATTGGCAAGGGGACGGGAGACCAGGAAAAGAGTGAATAGGCACTGGAACAGATGAAGGAAAGGACTGTCTGAAAAGAAATGTATGACTAGGCATTATACATATGACAGTTAACAATCTGCAACAAGAAGTGAATCACAAAGTGAGTTGGGGGAGGAGGGAGGAAAATATGCATCAGCGAATGAATGAAAACCCATCCTTTCTATAAAGTTTAGTTAAAAGCACAGTTTAAAAAAAATTTAAAGACTACTAAAACTCATTGTCATTGAGTCAGAATCAACTCATTGCAGATATTTGAGGTAGCAAATCACGAGAGAGGAAAGTGCCCATCTTTTTCCCTGTGAGTGGCTCATGGATTCAAGCCACCAGAGAGGGTCGATCTTTGTAGGAAACTGCCTACAGACTACCCCACCAGAACTCCCCCAATGAAAAGAGAAACAATACAGCAGTAAGTGTCATCTAAAGGACAAGTGACCTAAAATCTCCTCCAAGTCACCATCAGGAGCAATAATAGATCAAGGGTCTGTTCTAGAGGGATGAGGATGTGCAGGGAGAGGAGGGATTCATCATAGGGTTGTATAATTTGATGGGTGGGGAGTGAGGGAAATTGGAAGAATCTGTTCTCAAAAACAATGTATTTGAAAAAACTAGTATTAAAAAAACCCTTTGATATAAGAATGCAATATATGATCCTTGATTAGCCCGGATTTCTGGGAATTGAATATGGCTGACTTCCTAGAAGGTATTATAGACTTACTGTTAATTCTCTCAGCTGTGATAATGAGAAGCTATATGAGAGTATTCTTATTTTTAGGAGATGTAAATTTGCACATTGACGTATTTAGGAGTAAATGTCATGTCTGAAATTTGCATCCGCATGGTTCAGAGAAAGTTTGGCAAATGTGACAGAATGCTGTATTGGTGATCTGGATGTTCATTGTATAATTTAGTCTCTCAGTGTTCTTAGAGATTGGAGACTGTAAGTTGGGAGATAGGTTACAGTATGTGATCTTGCTAAGGGAAAATTTTCTGAAATGTTGATTCAGAGGCTCTTTGTGAATAAGAAAGGCTACAAGACATCTGATTGCCTGTATTAACATTTGGCATTTCTTTCTTTCTTTCTGTGCTAGTGGTTTGGATAATAAGTGTTCTGTGTACCCACTGACTTTCGACAAAAATGAAAACATGGCTGCCAAAAAGAAGTCCGTTGCCATGCATACCAACTACCTGTCTGCCTGCAGCTTCACCAACTCAGACATGCAGGTAAATCAGTGGCTGTGGTCTGGGTCGGTCTACTCTAGAACAGTGCACATCTTACAGAGCTGAAGAGCTCTCTGAAGCTCTCTACAGGGGAGTTGCCTTGTGAGAGGATGCTTTTCCCTGCTTTCTATTATTATTTTGATAAAATCAGAAGAGGGAAAGTTAAGTCTATCTGTGTTTGATACAGCTGAGATAAACCACACACCATACTGAAAATCCTGTGATTGACTTGGTGAGGGAGGGGCTGGAAACTGCTGGCAAAGCTTGCTTTACTGTACTTCATTTTATGGTGCTTTTCACAGACGGATGGAATAAGGCTCAGGGTGCCATTTTCCCAATAGCATATGCTCACATCATGTCTCTGTGTCACATTTTGGTAATATTCACAACATTTCAGACTTTTTTGTGATTGTATTGCACATATTCTACAACCCTACCCCCTATTTCATTGACTATGCAAAGGCATTTGACTGTGTAGATCATAACAAACTATGGCTGACTCTGAGAAGAATGGGAATCCCAGAAAACTGCGAAACTTATACTTGGACCAGGAGGCAGTCGTCAGAACAGAGCAAGGGAACACTGCATGGTTCAAAATTGGGAAGGGCGTACGCCAGGGATGCATCCTATCTCCATACCTTTTCAACCTATATGCAGAACAGATTATCTGGGAGGCTGGGCTCTATGAGGAGAAATGTGGGGTCAAGATTGGTGGACAATTTATCAACAACCTGCATTATGCGGATGACACAACCCTGCTTGCTGAAACTGAAGAGGACCTGAAGCGCCTGCTGCAGAGTGTCAAGGACTGCAGCCTACAATATGGATTGAGGCTCAATGTCAAGAAGACAAAGATTCTCACCACTGGACCAATTGGCAGCATCAGGATGGATGGTGAAGAGATTGAGATTGTACACAGCTTTAGTTTGCTTGGCTCCACAGTCAGCAGTCTTGGCACCAGCAGCCAGGAAATTAAAAGGCGCATTGCCATGGGAAAGTCTGCTGTTACGGACCTCTCCAAAGTACTGAAGAGCAATGGTGTCTCTCTGGAGACTAAGGTGCATCTGATACTGGTTATGGTCTTCGCAATCGCTTGTCATGCATCAGAGAGTTGGACAATGACCAAGGAGGATAGAAGGAGAATTGATGCCTTTGAGCTGTGGTGCTGGAGAAGAGTATTGAGAATACCATGGACTGCTAGGAATACAAACAGATTTGTCCTGGAAAGGGTTAAACCAGGTGGCTCCTTGGAGGCAAGGATTCTGAGGCTCCATCTAACATACTTTGGACAGGTTGTGAGGAGAGACCGGTCCTTGGAGAGGGACATCATGCTTGGGAGGATGGAGGGACAGCGCAGGAGGAGAAGGCCCTCTATGAGGTAGATTGATTCAGTGACTGGGATAATTGGGATGGGAGTGTCAGAGACAGTGCGATTGGCACAGGAGAGAGCAGAGTTTAGGGATGTTGTACATAGGGTCGCTATGAGTCGCAGGCGACTCGACGGCACATAACAACAACAACAACAAACCCCCTATTTATTACAATCTAACTGATTGTAACCCTTCGTCAGGCTTCCAAACTTTAATGTGGAAATAGGCTGCATCTTTATCTCATAGAGCACCTGCTAGGTTTGAACTACTGACTTTTGGGTTAGCAAGTCAGTATGTACCCTTCTGTGTGATAAGAGCTCTGGAGGACAATTACCAGCCAACAGATTGGAAGAGATCCATATTTAGTCCCATTCCAAAACAGGGTGATCTGACAGAATGTGGAAATTATCAAACATTAACAGTAATACCACACGCAAGCAAAATCTTGCTGAAGGTTAGCCAAAAACTACTGGAACAGTACATTAACAGAGAACTACCAGAAATGTAAACTGGGTTTAAAAGAGGCCCTGGCACCAGAGACATTGTCACCAATGTCAGATGAATCTTGGCTGAAAGCAGAGTGCCAGAGGAAGATCTGTCTGTGCTTCATTGACTATGTAAAGGTATGTGACTGTGTAGATCACAATAAATTGTGGCTAACCTTGAGGAGAATGGGAATCCCAGAACACTTGATTGTGTTCATTTGACACCTAAACCTGGATGAGGAAACAGTCCTCAGAACAGAGCAAGCAAACACTGCATGGTTCAAAATCAGGAAAGAGCGTATCAGGGATATATCTTGTCACCCACCATAATTTTTCAATCTATATGCAGAAGAGATCATTTGGGAGGCCCGACTTAATGAGGAGGTGTGTGGCATCAGGATTGGAGGAAGACTTATCAACAATCTGTGTTATGCAGATGATACAACCTTGCTTGCTAAAACTGAAGAGGACCTGAAGTGTTGGCTGCAGAAGTGTAGTCTTCAATATGGACTGAAGCTCAGTATCAAGAAGACAAAAATTCTTAACATTGGGCCAATCAGCAGCACCATGATAAATGGAGAAGAGATTGAGGTTGTTAACAATTTCAGCTTGCTCGGCTCCACAATCCACATTCTTGGCACCATCAGTCAGGAAAGCAAAAGATGAATTGTGTTAGGAAAATCTATCAGGGACCTCTCTAAAGTTCTAAAGAGCAGTGATGTTGGTCTGGAGACTAAGGTGCACCTGATCTAGTACATGGTCGTCTCAATTTACTTGCTATCCATTAGGGAGCTGGGGATGACAGTTGATGCATTTAAGTTATGGTGCTGGAGAAGAGTCTTGAACATACATACCATGGACTGTGGGGGGACAAAAAAACAGGTCTGTTCTGGAGAGGGTAAAACCAGTCTGCTCCTTGGAGGCAAGGATTTTGAAGCTCCAGCTCACATCCTTTGGGCATGCAGCTAGGAGGGACCAGTACTTGGAAAAGACCATCATTCTTGGAAGGATGGAGGGACAGGCCAGGAGAGGAAGACCTTGGGTGAGATGGATTGACACAGTGACTGATTACTTGGAGACAGACTGGCTCAGGATAGGGAAGGGTTCAGAACTATTGTACATAGGGTCTCTATGAGTCACAGGTGACTCAGTGGCACATAACAACAATAAACTACAATCTAGTACAAACTTAACTCTTGCCCTGCAAAACCAAAAACATTTGCTTTGTTGCAGTAGTCACTTTATTGCTGAGGTCTAGAATTGAACCTACCACTATATTTTAGGTATGCCTGGATATCCTGGCAAGAGAGATTGATAGAGAAGCAAGAAACAGATTCTGCCCTTGAGCCTCTGAAGTGTGGCCCTGACAACACCATCATTTCAGCCCAGGGAAACTTGATATTGAACTTCTGGTTGGTTTCCAGACTTATTAAACCCATGAGTTTGTGATGATTTATAACAGCAGTCACAGGAAACTAATACTGTGAGCAAACTATTAGCCTTGGCAAGTATATCAATTTAGTTGACTCTGTCTTTTCTTCCAGGAGCGGATATTTCCTATAGCAAGCACCTAGGTTATTTTTTCTTGGTTCCAGAATTATTTATCACTGTAACAGGAATTCTCTGTTGCTTTAAGTTCATCCTTCTAACCTTGTTAAACTGAGCTCCAGGAGAGCAGAGACCAAGACATGACCTTCTGGAAACCCAAGCGCCTGGCCATTACTGGCATAAGCGAATGCTTGAATCTGTGGGAGCAAGAGTCCCCAGAATAACTCAGTGACCCAGAGAACACCAAGAGCAGCACTGTCCTGGGGGAAACATACCACATTAAAAGACTAAACCAAGTGTTGTTGAGATTCTTGCTGCTCCAGGTGTGGTCCAGAGACCAGCCTGAACATCACCTAGAAGCTTAGCATTTAGTGGGAAGTCCTGGGTGACTTGTGTGCATCTTAAAGTCTGACAGGTGGACTTGGCTGCATGTTGAACCAGCCAGGGTGCCATTCACAGAGCACTTCTTAGGAGCCAGGCAGGTGCAGAGCTTTTTCATTTCTCAATACGGGAGAAATATTTCTGTGCTTTGAAACCAGACTGAGTGAAGTGTGGCTGAAGTATCTTTTCCGTGTAATCTGGTGTTCCCTGTGATGGTAACGGGACAGTTGTAGGAGTCACAGTTATGACTTCTGGGTTCAGTTCCCTCTGTGGAGAGTGCCCCTCAAGCACAGTCACCACCCGTCTGTCTGTCAGCGGAGACTTGTGCACTGCTGTGATGGTGAACAGGCTTCGGTGGAGCTTCTAAGTGAAGGTGGACTCAGAAGAAGATGCTGGTTGTCTACTTTGAAAATCAGCCAGTGAAAACCCTATGGACACAGTGGTCCAGTCCACAGCCAGTCATGGGATGGTATAGGACCAGGCCACTCTGTTGTGCATGAGGTCACCATGGGTCCAGGTGAGGGAGCTGGTAACAAATGATGACCACACCTCTGCTGTCCTTTCAGATCCTGACAGCGAGTGGTGACGGGACGTGTGCTTTGTGGGATGTGGAGAGTGGGCAGCTACTGCAGAGCTTCCATGGACATGCGGCTGATGTCCTATGCTTGGACCTGGCTCCTTCAGAAACTGGAAACACCTTTGTGTCTGGGGTAAAGAATCAAAGCAAACCTCAAGGGGTCCTTGTCCACCAGGGAGACCTTCAGCTGACTAACTATTCTCAGTACAGGAACTAGACTGGGCGTTTCCCTAGAAGGGGCTGTCAGAGCTGTCTTCAGCTCCCTGTGCTCCCTTCCCTTCTGCAGCAATGATGTGCTGGCTCCAGGCCCTCTGTGTGGTGGTCGAGTCCCAGTGCTCAGCTGTGGGGGTCTCCTGAGCTCCTTCACTGCTCTGCTGGCTCCAGGCCCTCTGTGTGGAGGTAGGAGTCTCCGTGCTCAGCTGTGTGGCACTCCCCCCAGTTCTACCAGTGGCTGCAGCTGTCCACACCGGGAGCTGTGCTTGCAGTGGGTGCTCTAAGTCAGGGTGCCTCATGCTAAAGTGTCACTCCTCAAAAAACAACAGAGCATGCCTCCGAGAGCCTTTGCACACATATCCTAGGAGCATCAAGATAGCCCACCACATCGAAGATGCCCTGTGGCTTGTGGAACATGCCCTTCCAGCCTTGAGTCTCCACTCAGGGCAGAGAGAACAGAAGATTTACAGGCTCAGAGTTAATCGAAGGAGCAGTAGACACAGTCAGGGCACACAGGTCCTGGTTTTGCTGCCAGACTCTAGACTTAATCACAGTACACTGCAGAGCTCCCCTTCAATCCCCAGAGGTTTGTTATGAGCATTCAGCAGACTCAATTCATTATCATCAAGCCGGAACCAACTGATAGCTAACCCTGCATTGACTTTTCAGAGGCTGTAAATGATACAGGAGGAGACTGCCTGTCTTTCTCTCACCGAACAGCTGGTGGATTTGGACTGCCTGCCTTTAGATTGGCAGTGAGCTTTTACTACCAGGCCACCAGAGGTCAAGTATGAGCATTAGGTGAAAGAATTTGTAATATGTTTTGTAAATGGTAAACCAGTGTCCAGTTAGGTGAGATGATGCCAACTCATGCTGACCCCACGTGTGTCAGAGGAGAGCTGTGCTCCGTGGGGTTTCAGGGGCTGAGTTTTCAGAAGTAGATTGCCAGGCATTTCCTCTGAGGCACCTCTGGAAAGATTAAAACCTCCAACCCTTTGGTTAGCAGCTGAGCCTATTAACTGTTTGCATTACCCAGGAACACCGAATAAATGAGAAGGGCACATAATTCTGCAGGAGCCAGGAAACAAAGGGACGACAGAGCCGGCTCAGCCCAACCCCAAGGCTTTTCTCACCTCTGGTTGAAGAGCACAGGACAGATTACTTAGGGAAGAGTGAGGGTGCTTGGCTCCAGACTGCCCACCCCTCGGTCCTGGGTGTCAGGCAAAGGGTGCTGGCCTTTAATCAGTAGAGACTCTGGCCTTTTGGTCCCATCTGTCTACATTCTTGTATTATTTTTTTAAAGCTTTGTATTTATCCCATCAGAACTATGTTGGATTTTTCAAATTATTTTTACCTTGTCAATTATATTATCTCTTTGAGAGCCCTACACTTTTTATCACTCTATGTCTTCTAAAGGTCTGAAGACACTTCTTTCTTTGTCCACATTGTCAGTAAGAACACTCAGAATGCTGACCCCTCAGCAGATCTTTCTAAGATATTAGTTAGTTGACTTCTTCCACCCTTTGCTTTGACTTGAAACCCACAATGTGGACACTGATTTAACCTGTGAGATCTTCTCTGTGACTATTGAAAGCCCATAAATTATACTTCCTGACCTTGATGGCAGGATTGCCCTGCAGAAATTTCTTAAAATTGTCCCAAAACTATCACAGTAAAATGGGAAAATCTCATGCTTATGGCTTTCTGAGTCCTGCTAACAACTTAGGGAGAGAGAAAATGTAGGCATTGTCTATTCTTACCTTACCTTACAGGTATTGAGGTAGAAGACTAAGAAGTCACTTCCCCAAGTTCCCCAGGTAACAGGTGAGTGGAACCCAAATCTGGCTCCTGGTTTGCTGAGTCCTAACCTAAAATATTGCTGAGGCTGCAGATGGTTCAGGGGCACTGGCTCTTCACCTTTGCAGAGTGCTGCCTCATGTATCCTGGTAAACCTGGAGCTCTTGGCTCCTGAGTTGGATAATTCCAGCCTGGTGGCATAATCAATAGGTAGTTGGACTATTAACCCAAAATTTATGCATCTTTGGTATCTCAAAGCCATAAGCAGCTCTCAGGGATAAAGATAGGCAGTCTCCTTCTATGCTATTTACAGCTTCAGAAACCCAGTGGAGGGTCAACTCTTGAGTCAGTTTCAACTCAACAATAAAAAGAGAGCATTTATTTAATCAATTGATTAGTATCACAACCAGAGAAGCCCTGGTATGCCCCCTGGCTGTCTGCCTTCCCCAGTTGAGTTTAGAAAGGCAGATAGAAGGGAGAAAGAAAGGGGGAAGTGAAGGGGAAGGAAATACCTAGGACGAAGGGGAGAAGGATGTTCTTGAGGGTTTCCAAGTATGTGAAAGAAGAAAGCATGCTAAAGGGGAAACCAGCCACATTCTCCTGCTCTGTCCCCAAGACCTAGTTCTGGCTGACTGGACTCCGAGGATTCATCTCACTTCTGTCAGTAAGCAGTGGCAAGACAAGACAAATTACTTCCTCGAATGATTTTTGCAACTGGACACTGGAAGGATCTCGTTAGATAGCAATCTGTTAAAGAAAGCAGCCTAGTATGGTAGCCGCTTACTGATAGGAAGTAAGTGGTTTCCGTTTCATAGTAGGAACTCATGCCTTGCCTGTAGACCGCCCTTGTTGTTGTCATAACTCCAGGTAACTTTGCATTTGTAGGGATGTGACAAGAAAGCCATGGTGTGGGACATGCGCTCTGGCCAGTGTGTGCAGGCCTTTGAAACACACGAGTCTGACATCAACAGTGTCCGGTCAGTGAGTAGATGCTGCGTGTTATTTTGTTTTGCCTTAGCTGAGAAACTGCCCGAGTGCAGGATAAGGTGGTATGAGAAAACACGAAAAACAAACAAGCAAAGAACCTACCACTTTTGTAAACATAATTCCTTAAAAAGTAAAAATAAATCCAGAAATTACTAATATGATGTAGATGGAAACACAGCTTTTTAAAAAATGTACATGGTGTTCCTTCTCTCATCCTTTAACATTCCTTAGACTGTTAGGCTTCCCTCTCTTGGGAATCCCTCCCAAATCTCCAAGGCAGAGTTGGCTGCCCTTCTGTGTAACTAGTATAGTCATTCATCTCCCCTCACTTAAGTATGTGCTCAATAGTGATTTGGAGAAGTCAGAAAGGTAAATAAGGATGTACGGTACTGTCCAGAACAATCAACCATACACGTTCACAAGCGCAGCATTTGCCCCAAAATAAAGCTTAGAGGCAAAAAAAAGGACAAATGGAGATGGGAAACTTAGGGAGGAATTAGAAAGAATGTGATGTTACATTGAAGGAATTGAAGATGATGTTAGGAAACAAAATGTATATAAATTATTAAATGGGAAATTAATTTGCTCTGTAAACTTTTATCCAAACCACAGATTTTTTTAAAAGTTTGACTGTTTATGAACTTTTAATAGAAGAAATAAAATAGTAATAAATAGAGAAAAAGAGTTCCTGATAGAAAAACAAAATAACCAAAAACCATTTTTAAATGACTGTATCTCCTATATAGAGTGAATGTACTACTAAGTTATTTTATAGAATGGTATAAATTAATAATTTAAGTTATTTTATAGAATGGTATATATTAATAAATAGAGTCATCTGGAAGATTTTATAGGAGCTGAATTAGTAGGCTATATTCAGGTATCTCTTTGTCCCCATTTGAGTAATGGTTTACAAAGTTTTCCATACTTTCATAGATACTTTCATTCATAGTCACTTTGTTTCATGACAGTAATTGCTATTGATTAAAGTTTTCATTATTTACAGTGCTTAATTAGTCCTTTAGTGTGCATTATTTTTCCTTTCGCCTACTTACCAGTTTATTAATTTTTACTCCCTTCTCCCTCCCTTCCTATCCCGACTATGTTTCCTTCCAGGGAAAACATTGACTAAAATGTTCACATTTGGCTAAGGTCACACTGGATATATTGTTTCTGGACTCATATCATGCCCTTGGTTATATACTGGCTTAGTTAAGATGTAGGTTTGTGAGACAGAGACCCATATAACAGTACTCAAATGAGAAAGTTTATGCTTTCATAAAATCTAAGCTTGACTTACTGTAATGGTTCCTAGGATAAAATATCCAACCTTATAGTCCAACTGGCCTATCATCATATCTTCTTTCTAGTCAAATTGTTGTGTACCATTCAGTCAGAATCCACTCGTAGCTGATCCTCCAAGAGATTGCCTGTCTTTCTCCTGCGGAGCAGCTTGTGAATTCAAACTTTGTGCCTTGGGATGGCAGCACAGCTCCTTACCACAAGGCCACTAGAGCTCCCTAAGCCAATAGAATGAAGAAAATTGAGCTCCTCACTTTTGCTTATGTACGGATTAACTGGAGCTTGATTAGATGGTCACATCTAGCTACAGGAAAAAGTAGAAACCATTTCATTCTTTCATGTGCCCAGAGAAGAAAGCCACACAGACAATAATAGAATACTTGATATTTTGAGTAGGACATTTCTTCACTGTAAGTGACTGTTCTGTTTAAGACATTTAGTATCTCTAGCTGCCTCACTCTGGTGGCCTAGTGAGTCAGCGGTTAAACTGCCAACACAAAGGCAGGCTATTTGAACCCACCAAACTCTACTGAGGGCAAAACATGAGCAGTCTCCCCTTGTGCACTTAGTTTTAGTGAGGCTACCACCCTGCAAGGCCAAGGCCAATGCCATTGTCCCCGGGTAAGAAAACTAAAGGCCAACCAGCCTGCCGTTTAAGCCACCACTTCCTCATCTCTGAAAGGAGGGGCCTTATGTTCCTAACAGTGGATACTCTGCCAGCATTAGCCTGATACAGTCTGCCCCTGCCCAGATGGTTCTGCTGGGCATCTGGATCTGGAGTCATTGTTCTAAAGAGCGTGCTTTGTATTCACAGGTACTACCCAAGTGGCGATGCCTTTGCCTCAGGATCAGATGATGCCACGGTAGGTTTCTATGGTACTGAGCTTCTCATTTCTAAAGAGGAACTATGTTGTCTAACGGTTTTACTTCTTAAAAATTACTGTTTTCTGACTAGAATTGTAATATGAAGAAAACTTGGGAAACAATTAAGTCACAGTAACAAAAATCACAGTTGAGTGAGTTTCTGGGTTTTTTTTTCTTTTAAAACCAAAGTGTTTCATAAATTGATTTTTTTTCCCCACTTAGCAATTAATGGTGAACATTTTCCCATGTAGATTAATATCTTTCTAAATTACACTTTTTATTGGACTGTAGCTGTTAAACTATTGTTTATTTAACAAATCTTCAATATTTGGACATTTGGAATTTTTTAGGGTTATTTTGTGTCTTTTTCTTGTTAAAAATGTTACCGTAATCTTTATAGATAAATATTTTTGTTACATCTTTTATGATCTTTAGAATTAATTCTCACCTATGGATTTATTCAATCAAAAATAGGGCCAGTCCTAAGACTACTGATTGTGTTAAATTATGTTCATGTATTTTCCATGAGGAAAAAACCCACCTCTTTTTTTCCCTTCACAATATTAACTATTTTATTAAATAAGAGGTTTCAATCTTATTTGCTTCTGTAGGAGGAAATGCAAAACAATAGATTGAAAGTTGAATGATAATGAAAATTGAAAACATCTCTACATGAAAATATATAACAAAAAGTGAGAATATACATTTTAGAAAAATTCTTGTTTCATATACAAAAGACTGAATTGAAATTCTTTGACTATGAATGAGGTTGTAAAATTGATCAAATTAGCATCTTAATAAGAAAGAAGATAAAACAGAACTGTTGACAAAACAATAAATAAAAATTGCTTATAACCCTCTAAAAATGTTTTCCTAGTCACTTGAATACAAGGAAATGCAAGTTTAAACAATCAGATGCCCCTTTTTCCCTCTGGTGTTAATAAAGAGGGACAGTGGTGGAGACAGCCTTGAAGATACGCGGGTCAATCTCTTACCAAACCAGCGGCACTCAGTCCAAATTCACCAGCTGCTTTGGGGGAGAAAGATGAAGAATCTCCGTTTGTGCACTTTACAGCCTCTGAAAACCTGCTGGAGGGTCAGCTATGAGCAGGCTCTGACTTGACAGCAATGAAGAAGCTTTTTAGTATTTTTTTGTTTTAGAGAGCAGTTTTGCAATATGAATCTATTATAAATAATGAATCAAGAGTTTTTAACAACCTTTTCATCTTTTGATCAGATTGTGCTTATTTCTTGGAAAGAAATCTGTTCTATTAATTATTTTATGGAAACTCTCAGAAATTCCTTCAGAAATTTTTACGTAAAATTTATGAAAAAAATTTTGTGAAAAATTAAAATCATAATATTACTTATAAAGAAAGATTACACACACTCAAAACACCTCACAAGGAATGGCTGAATAGAATCTGTGAAATCCCTAGAAGGAACACTCAATCACCATATACATCATACTTCTTCAAAACTGTTCAAAGGTGTGAAGACATATTCATGACATATGTTAATGGCAACAATACTGAAAAGACCCCGTTGAAGTACAGATATGAACTAGAAATGAGTAAAAGAAATCGCTCATATGTTAGTAATTATTTCTACAAAAGGTGACTTCTATTTCTTTTCATGCACATTTTAAAATTTTCTTCACTGAACATGGAGAAGGAAAAGAGAGGTTTGCACCCTTCTGTGTTTTCTTTGCCACCCTGATTCTTAGCAATTAATAGGACCTGGGTTGAGAGATGAAATCCTAGGAGAGGATTCTCACTGATGCCTCAGACTACACTGGGCATTGAAGCCAGTAGTAAGTGCTGCTTTGTCTGTTTGCACTCCAGTGTCGGCTCTATGACCTGCGGGCAGACAGGGAGGTCGCCATCTATTCCAAGGAGAGTATCATATTTGGAGCCTCAAGCGTGGACTTCTCCCTCAGTGGTAAGATTTTACAGAAACTTTAGAGACTGTAAAACTGAACCTAGATGAAACCAGTCTCATTAGCAAGCTTGCATCAACTAGAATTCTGATATGCAAATTTACATGCTTGTGCCCGGGACTCTGGTGGTGCACCAGTGAGAGCATTTAATATGCTCTGGTGGTGCCATCGTTAAAGCCTTTAATCTGCTAACCAGGAATTCTGCTGTTAAAATCCACCAGCTTTTCCATAGGAGAAAAATGTGACAGTCTGCTTTTCTGAAAATGACAGCCTTGCAAACCCCATGGCGCAGTTTTGCTCTGTCCTCTGGAACCACTATAAATCCAATTTGACTTGATGATGGTAATTTTTTTTTAATACTTGCCCCGGTATTCCTTAGCTGTACTTCCCAGCCACCCTTATGCATCTGTGTAAGACCCTACCTGCAGTAGCCACACACACACCCCACACACACACAGCCTGGTTCACTTCAAGGGAATGTGGTGCTGCACTGCACCTCATGGAGCTCCACAAGGCAATGATGTACCTGAACTTCACATTTGTTTCACCCTTGGGCATTTCATTCTCACACTGGAAAGAGGACTTTTTTTTCTGTGGTGGAAGGGGTAAACCAAGAGTCCTTTTAGTGTTCTGACATCTGTGCCACTTTTGTCCTCACAGCTGGGGACACAGCTAGTAAATGTGAAGGCAGTGCTGATAGGAAGGGTTCCCTGGACCTTTCATTCTCTCCAAACACAGTGTCCTCCTGGGCTGTCAGTGTCTTTGTGCACACATGCTGCATTCACACATGCTGGACACCTCTCTCCTCCCCTCTCTGCATGACAGACTTCAAGATCCAAGTCATTACTTTGCCTCTGCAGGACTGCCCACAGGATCTGATAGGGTTCCACAAGTACCTAGTGTCTGTTCCCAACACCATCACTTCACCGCCACCTTGAGCAGAAACTGCTCGTTCTTCTCTTCGAATCCCCATGGCAAAGCACAGTGCCTGACATACGCTGTCACTGGTACTGGGGATCACTGAGCCAACTCCTGGTGACTCTCTGTGTGTCAGACTAGAACTGTGTTCCACAAGGTTTCAGTGGCTGGTCTTTCTAAAGTGGGTTGCCAGGCCTTTCTTCCAAAGCACTTCTGTTGTTGCTAGTTGCCATTGAGCTGGCTCCAGCCATAACAACCCTGTGTATACAGAATGAAACCCCACCTGATCCTGTGCCATCTTCATAATCTCTGCTCTGAGGCACTTCTGAGTGACCTCAGATCTCCAACTTTTCATTTAACAGCCAAACATACTAACCGTTTGGGCCACACAGGGATACACAGCACAAAAATAGATGCTTAGCTGAGTGATTCACTCATTGAATAATAACATTTAGAAAATGGAAGATGGGGAAAAAATGGTTTTAAAACCTTAGACTGTTGCATAGGGTGAAGGAATGGGTGAGGTTCAGTGAGGATTTGAGGAGATATTAAATGATGTTTAAAGGCATTGATCAACTGTTATTGATGTTATAAGACATAATGTATATGAATGATGGAATGAAAACCAATTTTAAAAAACGATGAAAAAAAAAGATGCAAACGTAAAAAAAACCTAATCACATTACAAAAGTAATTTCACTACAGTGGCTCTTTGGATATCCTCACCCTTTAAGGTCGCCTGCTGTTTGCTGGTTACAACGACTACACTATCAATGTCTGGGATGTTCTCAAGGGGTCTCGAGTCTCCATCCTGTTTGGACATGAGAACCGAGTTAGTACTCTGCGAGTTTCCCCAGATGGGACTGCTTTCTGCTCAGGATCATGGGACCATACCCTCAGGGTAAGAAACATGTTTTTCTGTTTTACTCTGTGTGTTAAGAGAAAAGAAGAGAAGAGGGTTAATTGGCCTTCATTGTAGTTGAGAGGTTGGCCACCCAGAGCTCTGATTCTAGCTCTCCCCATAGAAAGAGAAAGAAATGGTTTTTCCTGGGAGGTTCTGAGGCCACCACCAACTCAAAGTTCAGTTATCGAGTAGACAGCCATGACCAGTGAGTCTCATAGAGTCTGCCTTTGACAGGGTGCATTCTTACCTCTTTTCTATCTCTTCTTTTAGTGAAAGTGAGCTCTGATGGCTTAGTGGGTGAGGAGTTAGTGCTGCCAACCCAAAGACAGGTGGTTCAAGTCCATCAGCTGCTCTATAGGAGAAAGATGGGCAATCTCCTCCTGATTTCTAGCCTCTGAAAGCCCACTGGAGGGCCAGCTATGAGTTAGTTCCTACTTGACGCAATGGACTTGATTGTTCTTTTTTCCTTTAGATTCTTTATTTTAAAATTTATTTTTTAAAAAAAATATGTTTTAATATCTCTTACCACTGCCATTTTTTTTTAGTTTATTTTGTGATTTTGGGTTTATTTTTATTTTACATTGGTGTGCTTATAAAGTTCGTATATGTTGTATTTCACACTAGTATTCACATTGTATTTCATACAGCGCATTCCCATGATTTATAAAACTGGACTGTGCCCACCATTACCCTGTATTTTCAGATCCTTGCTGGATCTTTCCCATTTCCTTTACCCCCTACCTCCACCTACCAATTTGTGCAACTTTATAATTTTGCCCCTACCCATCTTCTCCCCTCTGCTCCTACCCCTTCCTCCCTTGGGTCCCCATACATGTTTTACTAGTTATCCTTCTATTTTTGCAGTAACAGTCTTATGCGGCAAACATTTACATTTTCCTTCTCCGTCAGGTCTCTGCTATACACAGATTCTACCTTTTGTAGGTTTTACTATCTCAGTCTGTAGCTAAGAAGTTAGGCTAGATGGTCCAACTGGATTCTTTGACCCTAAAAATCTGATTTTGGTGGTTCTCACGTTTAGTGAACCACAGATGGTCCGTTTTTGCTTTTCTACCACACAGGCTTCTTATTCTCAGGTCTCAGAGGACTTCTACATCCTTGTGTGCATTTTTCTGGGGGAAATACATGGTTTTTAACGTATTCTTGATGAGCTCCATGACCTTGTCAAATGCCAGCTTCTAAAATATATTAACAAATTAGCCTGTTCATGGAGCAAAAACATGTCTGTCCCTCTTGGAGCATCTTTGATGGGAAGAACAAAGTCCGACATCTTTCAGGTTATAGGAGTTGGTTTAAGCTAAACCTTTTGATGAGGGAACTTAATTAGGATTGGTAGATTTGTAGCATAATAGCTTATGGTTGCCAGACACAGGGCAGGAACAGAGCAAGGGTTTGGAAGGAAATAGTAAACCTTCATTTGTTGCTCTTTGTTGTCCCGGGAAGTGGATGCCTTTTCTAAAGAGGGTAAGTTGAATCTTCTAATCCTGGGGAAAGCAGAAAAATAAATATTCAGGAACTTCTTGAAATGAGTAACATTTGCAACTTCATCTTCCTGGGTAGGAGTTTCCTGAATTAGTGAAGTCACGTTAATGTACAGAGTGGGACGTGCGGGTACAGATGGTTTCAGTTCTTAGACTAAAATAGTTACCAGCTTCTTCTAGTAAGGCAGCCACAAAAGTCATGCAGATGATTAACTAAGGGAAGGGGGAAATTGGTCAAAAGAAACACCGTCTAGTTCACAACGTTTATACTTCTAAGAGAAACGAATACCTCTTTTGGAATGGAGTTATGTGTGTCTGACTAAAAAGACTTCGATTCTGTCTCTCGTAATTCACGTTTCCACACTGTTAACCATTAAAGGATTAAAAATTATTTGTTTGTATTTTTGCAGGTTTGGGCTTAACCGTCCTCTAACAATGTGCCCAGAAAGACCTGAGGACAGAGCTTGGATCTTCATGTGTAAATAGATAATTATTTTAGATAATCTGAGGGTTCATTGCAACTTAGCTTAGGGAGCAGCTCCGTGGTTGCAAGTCCACTAAGTGTCTCTGTGTGTCACTGAGAACCTGTAGGTCTCTTGAAACTACCACCCTTGGAAGGTACTTCAACACTGCAGGAATACCTTTATGTAACAGTGTTTTCCATTTTAAACACTTTTTTAAACATCTCTTTCTTAAGATTATCCCATTACACTTGTCACAGTTCATTCTGTTGCTATTATAATACAACATTTAATCTAGTCCATACATATTCTTTTCCTGAACCAAATTCATTGTAAGAGCACTTTAAACTCTTCTGCTTTATCTCAGTATGAACTGTGACTTCTGGAATCTTTCTTGAGAAATACTGGTTTTAATGTTGGTTTATAATAGAAGAAAATTCTAAATCCAATTAGACAAAATTGGTTTAAAAATTGTGTGTTAAGGTTAAAAAAAAAGATCATTTATCATCTCACTTCCTATTGTCTTTTTGCAGCTAGAACATTTTTGATCGTGCAAGCTGATTATAAACAAAGCAGAGATACTCATAAAGAGACAAGACCCTTTGATCTGTGAATTCACTGATGATGGATATGTCACTGTTAACATTTGAACATATTTTTTTTTCAGTTGAGGGAAAAGACTGAATGCTGTTTGTGGTACAAATGCTTCTTAGAGCAGCCAAGGCCTTTCTACTTTGGAACACAAAACAGTGGTGGAAAATCCTATGAGTAGTTTTAGTGGAAACATTTAAAGTTGCTCTTGTTCTTACAAATTATATTTATTGCATTGCAAGAATAATTTAATATACATGTTAATTGATAAATCTAGAGTGTTAATAATGTCTTTAAACCTCTTACACAGATAAAAACCATAAAAGTGTATCTTGTGTTTATTTGAAAATCAGCAATTCCTCTGGGAGGTGTAAAGTACTTTTGTTATGGGATCTTTTTCTTCTACCTTGTTTCTTTTAAGCTGTAGAGCCTCATTCTGTTTTAGACACACTTCTTTCATAAAATTGACTTGCATTACTTAGGTAAATAAAAGATTACTTCAGACACCCAAATAATTGCTGGGTGAGTCTTGCCCTGTGAGTGTGGCCAGGCCCAGCTTGGTTCTTGCTATGCCTGAGAGCTGTGTGCCAGGGCCCCTTGGACTGTGAGTCTCTGCTCTTGGCCCAGCTGCAGCCAGCCTTCCTCCTAATAGTAGTTCTGGCTTTGCAGACTGGGTTCCAGGCCCTGTTCCTCAGAGACCATCCCTTCCAGAGCCAGAGCCAGGCACATCCTGGGGCTGACCCAGCCCAAGTATCCCTCTAAACTTTGATGGTTGGGAAGGGAAGCTAGGCTCAAATTGTTAGTTATGGTGTCAGGATAAACCAGTCCATCAAAAATCAGTCTGGCAAACTTTTCAAACAACTCTTATTAAGTAAACTTAATTATTATACTTGATAATTTGCCCAGTGAATTGGGTAGTAGGTGAGCAGTGGTGGCCCAGTAGGAAAAGAGTTGTGCTTCCAACCCAAAGGCACATAGTTTGAAGCCACCAGCTGCTTCACGGAAGAAAGATGGTCAGTCTTCTCCCATGTAGTTTACAGCTTCTGAAAACACACTGGCGAGTCAGCTGTGAGTGTCCCGACTCAGCGGCTGTGAAGGGATTTTTAGAGAGCTGCTGGGGTTAGGAGTTGTGGTGGTGACTGCTTTACACCTTACCCCACTAACCATCAGTTCTAATCCACCAGCTTCTGGAGACAAAGTCTTCTCCTTCTATAAAGATTTACAGCTTCAGGAACCCAGTGGAGGGGCCTGTGCATTGGAATCAATTGCATGGCCATGGATTTTGATTAAGCTCTGAGTAGAACAAGAATGAGAAAGCTCCTGCTTCCCTCCAGAGAGCACTGTCAGGAGACGGAGCATGGTCCAGAGGGACCACTGGATTCGGGTCTGAACAGGGACTCAGGGAAATGAACATAGTATCTACCTAGTTCTTGCCAGCTGAATGAAGGGTCCAAGCCCCCAAAGTGTTTCTAACAGAATTCCTAAGATCTGCTTTCACTTCTGAAGTTTGCCTCTGGTCCAGCTGCTCTAGCTATAGTAGCCTCTGTCACCTCTTCCTGAGACCCTTTTGTGTCTCTGCACTCTAACCTAGGGAACTCTGAAGGCCTAGTCATTAGGGAGTTGTGCTGCCAACCCAGAAACAGACAGTTCAAATCCACCAGCTGCTGCACAGGAGAAAGATGTGCAGACTACTCTCACATAGTCTCTGGAAACCTATGTGTCATTTCCAACTCAACGACAATGGATTGAGTCGAGCTTGGTCCTGACTTGGCCCTCTGGCTCCCAGGAGTAAATAAAGTAGTGTTGCAGCAGAGGAAGAGTCTCATCAATGTAGGGGAAGTAAATGCAAGACTTTGTGTTTGGAGAGGCATAGAGAGCCTCCTCAGTATAAATGCAAAAAATCCTGACTTTCCATCAAGAAAGCAAATGTTAAGGTCACTATGAGTCTCTGTAGAGTCCATGGGCAGTCAGCCACCTCTCCCATAAGTATTTAATCTCACAATAGATAAAATCTAGTATTTATTGATAAAATATTGATTTGGAATATGCTTCACCATCTGGAGACGCAAGATAAAACTCCATGTAATAAATTGTATTTTGCATACTGAAGATAATGCTGTGTTCCTTTTTAACCAGGGGTTTTTTATGGTTGTGTGGGTTTTTATTGCCTTAAGGGTGTGGGAGGGAAAAAAACCCACCAAACCAATTGTAGGAGAGCCAAGAGTATGTGTCTTTGCATAGAACACTCCTCCTTCCACCCCACCCCAGCCAGAGAAAAAGCTTAGGCAGGAAATTGGGTTCGTTGAGAAGGTGGGGAGTAAAAGTATTGATGGGAAATATTTGTGAAATGAAACAAAGTCAGCTGCAGTCAGCCTTTTGGAAGCGACTTCAGGGCAACCCAAGGTTGTAAAGGCTTCGCATCCACCTCAGGCTCTGGTAGTTGCTTGGTCTCTGTGTTAAAACTCTTGACATCTAACTGGAAAGTTCAGACCCAACTAGAGACTTCTGTCCCCGACTATTCTGTAGCCACTGGTTGGCTCAAGTTTCTTTTTAGCTGCTTAGCCCATTGGTTAGATGGTATCTCTGATAGAAGAAGTTCTTAAAGTTTAAAGGGGCAGCTTAGTGTAAGCAAATTACATGGATCTGGGATCAGACCCACCTCCACTACTTTTTAAGGATGTGTACTTTCTGCTCTTCCTTTTTTTTTTTTTTCAGGACATATCTTAAGTTTCCTCATCTATGAAATGGGACAATACTTGAGTATGGAAAGGACCTAGCTCAACACTGAGCCAGGGTTAGTTCCCCCCCACCTGTCCTAACCATCCTGCTGCCTTGCCTTCCTTTCCTGCCCCTCGTCTTTCACATGCTCCTCCCCTTCCCCCTAGTTGTCCTCCTCTTGCTGACCTATCACCTCTGTGCTCCTCCTCTCCTTCCTCTCCCCAGACCTTTCTTCCTGCCCACTCCCCACTCCCTTTTCCCACCCAGCCCTTTCTCTCCCTCTCTTGGCTCCCCTCCTGCCCTATCTCTTCCCTCTCTAGGTCTCCCCTCCTTCCTCATCTCCTTTCTTCCTCAGCTTCTCTGTTCCCTCTGCCCCTCCTTTCTCTTCCCCCCTCCTCCCCCACTAGAGGCACTTCCCACACTCGCCTCCAACTTGTAATTACCGAGGCTTCTGCTCAGTGATTCTCGGGTCCTCTACAGCTCTCTCTGCAGACAAGGGACTGGAATTTCTGCCTCCTGGGAGGAGTTTCCTCACATCACTGTGCGAGGTCACTGAAGAGACTGTAACAGTGCAGAAACCCACTTCCACATTGCTGTTATTGTACCTTCTAGAATCAACCCATAGCTGACCCTCCAGTGGTTTTTCTGAGTCAGTAAGTCATACGGGAGTACTGATGTATCCTAGGGATCCATCGGTAAAAATTACAAAGAGCTTTTGTTGGTGTAGATTATATCTACCAACATTTATCACATTAGGAATTAAAGATAGAGAAGCACACCTTCTATTAATAACTATCAGAGAGTGATCATTTCATCACACACATCATGTAGCTGGGGAATAAGTATTAGTAGGAAAATAGTTTTGCTCTCAAGAAGTCCTGGAAAGGGTCTCAGGGACCTCCTGGAGGCCAGGACCACACTTTGAAACAGCAGCTCCACACTACGGAGCCCTTTCCAAGGCTTCTGTGTGAGACCTCAGAGACCATGGTACCTGGTGGAAGGAGCAGTGGAAGCGGGATTAGAAAAGAAGGAAGAGAAAGGGCACTGGCATGAAGGAGGAAATTAAAAAGGTACTTGAGAGAGGGGCTCTCAGTGGGCTTCCCAGATGTGATTTGGGGTGAGCAGCCAACCAAATGCCACTCACTTGTGGCAGTTCTAATCCACCAATGGCTCTGAAGGAGAAAGTTGAGCAGTTCTTCCTGTTCGGTTCAGAAACCTGCAGTCTCAGAAGCCCAATGGAGGGTCACTGCCAATCAGAATCAACCTCAGTGGCAATAAATTTTTAGTCTGGGAAACATATAAAGCCCTGGGAAGGATAGAGAAAGGCAGTGGGATGAGCCAGAGACTGTCTGGGGCCTGTGGACAGCTGGAACCCTTTAGCTGCGGGCAGCTGGGTAAACCCAGCTATAGATTAGAAGATTTAATGGGTTGGCTTGGAACACATTAGAGTCAGTTGGCTTTCTCCGAGTCTAGGAGAGCCAACTGAACAGGGTTGTAGATCTACAATCCTCAGAGGTGTTAGCTGGCAAAAATCATCTTGGGCAACAAATACAGAATCCTAACAGACCCGCCCTGGGGGAAATGGCCTGGGTGGGACAGAAGTGGACCATGACTTCTGATCAGGAGGGGGCCAGGTTGGGGAATTTGTCTGGATCTGATGCACATTCCTTTTGGAGAGCATCATGCTGGCCATGCATCCTCTCATCACTTACAGGATCTAATCAGGTCACTCTTCAGGGCATCCCAATCTCCTCATCTTCCAGACAGGACTTGGCCGGAAGCAGGTTGGCTTGCATGGCTGGTCAATCATGACTCTGGCCTCCAGGGACTGGCTTAGACAGTTCTGGTAAAAGACATTCAAGGTATGTTTGTGTCCTTGTGAAAATGAGGAGATGGGATCAGGAATGAGGATCTTGTTAATTTAGTCCACATAAATGAATAGGAATAATGAAATGTAAACATGACATAAATTGTCCCCAAAACATAAAATGTGCGACCAAGTGTTGTGTCTCTTTTCACAGTTCGTAGTGTAGGATGAAGCAAGTGCTCCTTGAAGGCAAAGATGACAAAGGTTCATCTTTCATACTTTGGACATGTAGCTAGGCGAGGTTATTGTACCTTGGAAAGGGGTATCATGCTTGGAAAGATGGAAGGTCAGTGAAGGAGAGGAAAGACTCCCAATGAGATGGATTAACACAGTGACCTCAGCAATGGGCTTGAGTGTGTCAGAGATGATGAGGATGGGACAGGGTTCAGGTCAGCTGTTCATAGGATCACTATGAATTGGACTCAGAAGCACCTAACAACTCCCAAACTGAATTCCCAAAACTTTCCCAGTTCAGCAACAACTGTACAGTTCTGCCTATGTCTTTGTCTCCACCCATCACTAGACTGTAGGGTCCTTGATAGCAATGACCACGTCTTGTTCTCCATTATATCCTCAGTGCTAAGGGAAGCCTCCTAGGGAATGATGGAGAGTCTACCCATTACAGCCTAGGAAACCACTATGAAGGATCGCAGGGAGTTGGAACCAGCGTGATGCCTCTAAATTTGATGCCTAGCATCCAAAAGCTCTGAGTAAATGTCAATGAGTGGAGCAGCTGATGTGGCCCAGAGAAGAACTGGCCTTCTTCATGTCTCCCATGCTTAATTTAAAGAACAGCCTCTCCTGCACACACCTGGTCACTTCCCTCCTGGCTGTTGTGTCGTGTACTGTAGAGTCAGAACAAACCCACAGCTGACTCTGGCAGGTTTTCAGAGGCAGTTAATCCCACGGGAAGAGATTGCCCCTTCTTCTCTCGAGGATCAGCTGGTGGATTTGAACCACGGGTCTTCAGGATTGCAGCACAGCTTCTTGCCACTAGGTCTTTCCAGTCTAGAGACACTAATAATCTCGGCAAAGAAGCATCAGGGCCAGGCTGTGCAGAGATCTTTATAGTCTCTCCCTAGAAGACGAAGCCCAGCCCAATACCCTACTTGTGTCAGGCTACTGTCCTCTTAGGGTTCTTACTGCTTAGTCCCCAGGCCAGGAGCTAAACAATCATCCCAAAGAACTTCACTTCTGCCCCCCAGTAGCTTGGTTCACCTTGGTTGAACCAAGCAATTGAGGACAGAGTGAGGCTTTGTGTCTCCTAGTATCAACCTTGAGACCAGGACAGTTGTCAGACTGAGGGGAGGAGTCCTTTCAAAGCCTAGCCATTTCCAGACCTTAGGAAACAGCGCTTCCCTGGACTCTGAGAGGCGCCGGCCTAACAAAGCAGAGGCCTCCGCAGCAAACACACGCGGACACGAGAGCACATGCGCGCTGCCGGACGGCTGGATGTGCTGCTCCGGGAGCTGCCCGAGGGGTGCTGCGCTCTGCTCGCCTTCCCGGCGGCGCCTCTGGTTCTTCTTGCAGCCCGCAGTTCGAGGACGCACCACTCCAAGCCAGTGACGCGGACAGCACAGCAATGTCGGCCGACGACCACAGCTTCAGCTGGATCCGCGTGGTGGCGCCCGCGGCCTTCCCGCTGACGCTGCTAGAGAGGCTGCTACGAGGGCAGTGGAGGAGGACGACGAGGCTGACCGAGGTTGCCAGTGCCTGAGGCCTCGCGCCTCTCCTTGGTGCGCAGAGGAGCACAGCGCCCTCCTGGGACATCTGGGCCGGAGGCCGAGGGTCGTGCCCACATGGTCACCACCTGGAGGGACCCCAGAGCGGCAGTCTTCTGAAAAGAAGAAAGCTTTGTCTCAGACTGGGATGTTTGAACTAAAAGTCTAGATTTCTCCTCTCCTGGCAGTTCGAACTAACAGAAGTTGGTTTTGCTCGATGATTCTATTACTGACCCCTCCTTTTAAAACGTTGCACCTGTTTTGGGTCTGCACACTTGACCTTGTTGTTGGTGTTACTGCCATCTGCGTCACCTCCAACTCATAGAGCACAACAGCTCCTGAACCCCCCGCTCTATCCTGAGCCAGTCTCCCTGTCTTTGAAACACCTACCCCCATTTCCCTAGTTGCTTTGTCAATTCATCTCATCCAGGGTTGTCTTCTCCAGCACTAGCCCTTCCTGACAACAAAGTGCCCAAAGTATGTGAGACGGAGCTTCAATATCCTTGCCTCCAGAGGCAACTTGGTTTCACCCTCTTCAAGATAGACCTGTTGGTTCTCTTAGCAGTCTATGGGTTATGTTCAATACTCTTCTCCAAAACACAACTCAAAGGCTTTGATGCTTCTTCTATCATCTTTGCCATGCAATAGAGAGCAATTGGGAAGACCATCGCCTGGATCTCTAGACTGGTATCCTTACTCTAGAGAGGTCCCTAATGGATGGCTTACCCAATGCAATTCATTTTTTTATTTCCTGACTGGTGCCTTACCCCATCCTTACTCTATTCTGGAAGAGTTTGCAAAGTGCCCATGTTAGATTTGGACATTTTGCTCTTACAGAGACTCCCAACTAGAAAACCAGAAGTGGTTTTAGCTAAGACAATGCCTTCTCCTTGGCTCACTATAAGATTGTTAATGTACCTTTGGAGAGACAGACTTGTTGACCCCATTGCTCTGGAAGTTGAAGAACCCAACCTAAATTGAAAATGCAAAGTTCTCTCTTTGTCCTGTCACTTTTTAATAAGAGAGAAGGTTACTGATGTCAGAACATGGACACTGATCAAAGTTCCTCCCTTTATAATCTGTAATATCTGGCCTTCAGTTGGTAGAGATCTTCAGGCTAGAGGCTCAGATGATTGGATCTGTAGTTCCTAAACCTAGCTAACGAACAAAGAAAGCTCCATTACCTTTCAGTAAATCCACAACATGTATCAGGAAATCTGAGCTAGCTCCTTCATTTCTTTTAATTACTAGAACTGAGTCAACAACTGAAGTGACTCATTGGTAAATATCAACTTAGTAAAACCGGCAATTTTTTTAAAAATCTGAAAAACTAGGGAAGATAACACAGGAAATCCAGAAGACCTATTGTCACTTTCCTCTTAGACTTCTTAGGATGATGAATTGGTTTCTGTCTGAAAAAGGGATAGTGTCTGAGTTCAAAACCTTGACTTAATTTAGCGCATTGAAAGGTTAGCCTTAACTCTTGTGGGTTTTTTGGTGATGTTCTTTTTAGTGCTCAACCATCAGAACCTCTGGACTTGAGTTTCTAGGGACTTTATTTGAGCCCATCTGAATGTTTTTGGCCCATGTTATGCTGGGCTCTCTAGAGGCATAAAACCAGTGAAGAAGGACTTAAGAAAATGGCTCATGATGCTGTGGAGGATGTCAGGTTCCAAGTTTATGGGTCAGAAAAGAGGCTGGAGGCTTCTCTTGCCTCAATCGGATGCAGAAGTTGAACCTAATATAAGCAAGTCAAGCCTTCAAACTCAGAAGGTCAGAAAACAGGCTGCTGGTTCGTGTCCCAGGAACCAGAGGTATGGAGGATTGTGAAAGAATAAGCTTTTCTGGAACACACCACACATATGTGTGTATATATATATATATATATATATATATATATATATATATAGAGAGAGAGAGAGAGAGACAGACAGACAGAGAGAGAGAGACACTCCTTATCCATATGGTTAAGTTCCAAAGACCAGGTTGTTATGAGAAAATCTGCATTGTGGAAAAATGGAAGATGATTACATAACTACCAGATCTCATCATTACATAATTGGTAAACCACTGAGAATCGTGGTTGAGCCAAGCTGACACATAACTTCAACAGCACTACTCTCATCTCTCACCTCAGTGTTCATTAATGCCAAGTGTGTGCTCTTAATGCACAAAAGAGTAGAATAAACTTTTTTGGTTTGTTTTTTTTTTTATGTGTGTACCGTCAAATTGGATCTGACTGGTACAGGAGGCGATTGTTCCTCCTTCTTCAGCAGAGCATCTGGTGGATTTGAACCGTGCACCTCTGGAGAATAAACTTTTTTAAACTACTGTCATAAATGCAAAATGTTAGCTAGTGGGATAGTTAATAAGTAGGTGTATATTATGGGAGTTCTGGTTCCATAATCTGTAGGGAGTTGCACTGATAACCCAAAGGCCAAGTGTCTCTTGTGGTTCGAATCTATTAGTGGCTTTATGAGAGAAGGATGGATAGTCTCTTCTGTGATTTAAAGGCTTGAAAACATTACTGTGGTCAGTTCAGTCCCCACAGCAGTGAGAGATGTGTTAACATGCAGGCCACACCCTCCACATAAGCTGATTGGCTTCCTTGATTCCTGAATATTTTCTGACATCAGATCACAAAATTAAGGATAATTATGCAATGCATTATGAAAAGCAATCAGTCCAGTCTCTGTCAAACTACAGCGTATGGTATCTCAGCCAAACTGATCATAAGAAGAAAACTATATTCAACATTGAAAAAAAGAGAAGAAAATGATTGAGTGAGGGACATTGTTATTGTTTTGGTAACCAACAACAGTCAACTCAGTGCCAGCAAGTCATAGCTGACCTGCCATTGGGTTTTCAGAGGTGGTAAGTTGCAAGAGAAGAGGTTGTCCATCTTTCTTCCATGGAACAGCTTGTGAATTTGAACCACTTGCCTTTGGGTTGGCAATGTAACGGCTTAACCACTAGACCACTAGACCACTAGAACTCCCTCTCAACACCAAGAAGCCACACCTAGAGTTCAAATCCTTTCCCCATTTTTCTGAATGGAAATAACTGAAGTTCTCTTGGCTTTATTATTTTACATGATAGCTTTAAATCCATCAATTTGACAGCTCCAAATGACATCTGTCCTTTGCTTAGATAAAGAGCATGATACAATAAGCTAAGCTCCTCTTGCTTTAAAAAAAAAGAGTAAAAATGTATTCCTGTTCTTAGTGACAAAGTGGCTTCTTCTAAATCCCAACTCATCAACACTTTTAATTGCAGTTTCTTTATTGATCAGTATGTCCTTCCCCCTCATCTGTCTTTTAAATCAACGTGTTATCCTGCTGTTTAATCAGGAACCCCCTGTGTATTTTCTTGAATTCAGGTTTTGAGCATTATGCAGTAATCTAAGTTTTTTGCTTCCTTTCACCCACAAGTTCAAATACTGAGAGATACTATGGGCAAAATTATGTATGATCCAGAAAGCATCAAAAAAGATGAAAAGAATACACACCCAAAGTCACTGTACCAAAAAGAATTGACACTGAAAAACTGCAGGAAGTAGTATATGAATATATACATATGGAACATACCATACCAATGGTAATGTAAGTAGTTGTTCAAGCTGCACTGAAGGCACTGGCAAAAATAAGACCCATGCATCAATATTTATTTTCATTAGACGTGTTTCATGTAACAGATGCAGCCCTGGATATGCTTACCAGTCTATGCTAGGAAATTTTAAGAACAGCTGCTTGGCTGACTGGAAGGGATCCATTGTTGTTGTTGTTGTTGATTACCGTCAAGCCAAGAACGACTCATAGAGACCCTCTGAACAAAAGGCGTAAAGCCTTTCTAGAACTATCGTCATTTATCCAAGTTCATAGAGTTTTCAGAAGCATATTGTTTAGGAAGTGGATCCATATGTGTTTCCATTCCCAAGAAAGGTGATTCAACAGAATGTAAAAATTATCAAATATTATCATTCATTTCACATGCAAGCAAAATACTGCTGAAGATCATCCCAGTACGGCCAGAGATTCAAGCAAGGTTTAGACAAGGCCATGGCACCAGGGATATCATTGCTAGTCAGATGGATCCTAAATAAAAACAGAGCAAAGAAGAATGTCTGTTTGTGTTTTATTGATTATGCAAGGGCATTTATGTGGGTCATAAGAAACTATGGTTAACATTGAGAAGAATGGGGATCCCAGAACATTTAATTATGTTCATATGAAACCTTGATCTAGACCAAGAAGATGTTGTGCAAACAGAACAAGGGAGCATTGCACGGTTTAAAATCAGGAAAAGTAAGCATTAGGTTTGTAAACTTTCTCTGTACCTCTTCATTCTGTACCACTGAGAAAATCGTTCAAGAAGCTGGACTATATGAATAGGAACGCACAATCAGTATCGGAGGAAGACTTATCAACAACCTGCGTTACAGAGATAACTCAACCTTGTTTGCTGAAAATGAGGAGGGCTTGAAATCCTTGCTGCAGAAGATCAAAAACTGCAGCCTTCAATATGTATTACATCTCGATATCAAGATGACAAAAATCCTCACCACCGAATCAATAAGCAATATGATAGGATAGATGGAGAAAAGATTGAAATTGTCAATGATTTTATCTTACTTGGATCTGCAGTCAACACTTTTGGTACTATCGTTTGGAAGAACAGGAGACATTGGGCAAGCCTGCTGTCAGGGACCTTTCCAGAGTACTAAGAAGCAACGACGTCAGTCTAGAGAATAAGGTGCACCTGATCCAGTCCATTTATCTTGACAACTACTTATATGTATCAGAGAGCTGGATATCATGACTAAGGATGATAGAACAAGAATCAATGCCTTTGAATTGTGGTGCTGAAGAAGAGTCTTGAGTATACCATGAGCCGCCAAGAAAACAAATAGGTCTGTCTTGGAGAGGGTGAAACCAAGTTTCTCTTTGGAGGTTAGGATTTTGAAGTTTCGTCTCACATACTTTAGGCATGTGGCCAG